CTTCATAGGCGCTGCTACTCGCTAAACAGCACTGGCCCCAACAGTCTGTTACAGGCTACACGGGGGATCTTTATCTTTTGCACTCGCATGCATTAGTACTCTCGTCCAGCCGTTGGAGGAGTTGTCGTAACTGCCAAACACGTTTCACGACTATTTAGTCCGTGCCCCCCCATTCGATGACGGGGTAGCGGGCGGCGCTGTGTGCCACAGATAAGCAGATTTAATTTGAAATTGTTGAGAGAGAGAGAGAAACGAAGGTAAGCCTACAAAAATATTCGGAGGCGAAAATGCCTCGGACTTTTTTCGTTCGGCTACGGTAATTATAAACGGCGTTCTTTATCGAAGTTAAAAATAATAATTTTAAAAAATGAACCGTCTCCGATCAACCGTACAAGTGATGACTCAACGAAGTGGCTTATCATTATCACCATCATCATCACGTGTGGAAATGTATAGCAGTAGCCAAACACTCTCTTAAGCGCGTGGTGACGTTGATTCTCAACGTGGAGGGGGGGGGGGGGAAACATGGAGGACGCGGAGAAAATCCACGCGACCACAGGGATAATAAGCAGACTCCAAAGATACAGCAGCTCCACTCTCTCCCCTCGTCGGGGTCAGGATCTAACCCAAAACCTCCTGCATACCAGGAGAGGTAGTTAACATTTCACCACGGGGAGAGAGAGAGAGACGCAGACTCCAAATATACAGCAGCTCCACTCTCTCCCCTCGTCGGGGTCAGGATCTAACCCAAAACCTCCTGCATACCAGGAGAGGAAGTTACCATTTCACCACGGGGAGAGAGAGAGAGAGACGCAGACTCCAAATATACAGCAGCTCCACTCTCTCCCCTCATCGGGGTCAGGATCTAACCCAAAACCTCCTGCATACCAGGAGAGGAAGTTAACATTTCACCACGGGGAGAGAGAGAGAGACGCAGACTCTAAATATACAGCAGCTCCACTCTCTCCCCTCGTCGGGGTCAGGATCTAACCTAAAACCTCCTGCATACCAGGAGAGGAAGTTAACATTTCACCACGGAGAGAGAGAGAGAGACGCAGACTCCAAATATACAGCAGCTCCACTCTCTCCCCTCGTCGGGGTCAGGATCTAACCCAAAACCTCCTGCATACCAGGAGAGGAAGTTAACATTTCACCACGGGGAGAGAGAGAGAGAGACGCAGACTCCAAATATACAGCAGCTCCACTCTCTCCCCTCGTCGGGGTCAGGATCTAACCCAAAACCTCCTGCATACCAGGAGAGGAAGTTAACATTTCACCACGGGGAGAGAGAGAGAGAGAGACGCAGACTCCAAATATACAGCAGCTCCACTCTCCCCCCTCGTCGGGGTCAGGATCTAACCCAAAACCTCCTGCATGCCAGGAGAGGAAGTTAACATTTCACCACGGGGAGAGAGAGATGCAGACTCCAAAGATACATCGGCAGGCATCGTCAGGTTCGAGATCGAACCGACAGAGCTGCTGTATACCAGGTGATGTAGTTAACATCTCTGAGAGACGCAGACTCCAAATATACAGCAGCTGCAGGCATCGTCAGGGTCGGAGTAGAACCCACGACCTCCTGTAGACCATGCGAGGTAGTCAACATCTCCTAGCCACCGTGATGATGATGATGATGAGAGAGACGCAGACTCCAAATATACAGCAGCAGCAGCAGGCATCGTCAGAGTTGGGATCTAACCCACGACTTCCTGCACACCGCGCTCGCTCCTCGACAACGATGTGAAATTTTTGAGTCTCACCTTTTAAAAGACGCGACGGGGACAAATTGAAGCCGTTTCGATAAGCCAAAGGTCATGCCACCCCCACCCCCCCGTCACACTCCGCCTCACCCCCCCCCCCCCTTTCGCCCCTGCGGGAGGTAAAATTACTTAAAAGGTCAAACGTCGACCGGGATTCTGAACTCGCAATCATCCGAGCGCGATCGGAGCGCACCCGGGAACAAGTAATAAATATATAAAGATGCATCGAAGCAAACACGGAGAAGCCTCGTTTCACTCCGTAGCTCAACGATGGGCGGTTAACGGGCGAGATGTTAACTACCTCGCCTGGTATGTAGCAGGTCGGGGGTTCGATTCCAACCCTTGACGATGCCTGCAGCTGCTGTATATTTGGAGTCTGCGTGTCTCTCTCTCTCATCATCATCATCATCACGGTGGCTAGGAGATGTTAACTACACCGCCTGGTACACAGGCGGTCGGGGGTTCGATTCCAACCCCTGACTATGCCCTTGGAGCGCTGTCTTCCCGACAGTTCTGTTTCTTCACCTGAGGACGGCTGCTTGTGCTGTGGCCGAAACGTCGTGAGAATTTAATTTTATTATGTTTTATTTTTATTATTTCCCTTCTACGTGACTTTACCGAAGAACCAAGAAGATCTATGGGAGCCTTCGACATTGAAGTCTATGGTAGCCTTCGACATTGAAGTCTATGGGAGATTTCAACATTGAAGTCTATGGGAGCCTTCAACATTGAAGTCTATGGGAGCCTTTAACATTGACGTCTATGGGAGCCTTTAACATTGAAGTCTATGGGAGACTTCAACGTTGAAGTCTATGGGAGCCTTCGACATTGACGTCTATGGGAGCCTTCGACATTGACGTCTATGGGAGCCTTCGACATTGAAGTCTATGGGAGCCTTCGACATTGAAGTCTAGGGGAAGTCTATGGGAGCCTTTAACATTGAAGTCTATGGGAGCCTTCGACATTGACGTCTATGGGAGCCTTCGACATTGAAGTCTATGGGAGCCTTCGACATTGAAGTCTATGGGAGCCTTCGACATTGAAGTCTATGGGATCCTTCAACATTGAAATCTATGGGAGCCTTCAACATTGAAGCCTATGGGAGCCTTCAACATTGAAGCCTATGGGAGCCTTAAACATTGAAGTCTATGGGAGCCTTTAACATTGAAGTCTATGGGAGCCTTTAACATTGAAGTCTATGGGAGCCTTTAACATTGAAGTCTATGGGAGCCTTTAACGTTGACGTCTATGGGAGCCTTTAACGTTGAAGTCTATGGGAGACTTCAACGTTGAAGTCTATGGGAGCCTTCAACATTGAAGTCTATGGGAGCTTTTAACACTGAAGTCTATGGGAGCCTTTAACATTGAAGTCTATGGGAGCCTTTAACGTTGACGTCTATGGGAGCCTTTAACGTTGAAGTCTATGGGAGACTTCAACGTTGAAGTCTATGGGAGCCTTCAACATTGAACTCTATGGGAGCCTTCAACATTGAAGTCTATGGAAGCCTTCAACATTGAAGTCTATGGGAGCCTTCAACATTGAAGTCTATGGGAGCCTTCAACATTGAAGTCTATGGGAGCCTTCAACATTGAAGTCTATGGGAGCCTTAAACATTGAAGTCTATGGGAGCCTTTAACATTGAAGGCTATGGGAGCCTTTAACATTGAAGTCTATGGGAGCCTTTAACATTGAAGTCTATGGGAGCCTTTAACATTGAAGTATATGGGAGCCTTTAACATTGAAGTCTATGGGAGCCTTTAACATTGAAGTCTATGGGAGCCTTCAACATTGAAGCCTATGGGAGCCTTCAACATTAAAGTCTATGGGAGCCTTCAACATTAAAGTCTATGGGAGCCTTCAACATTGAAGTCTATGGGAGCCTTCAACATTGAAGTCTATGGGATCTTTCAACATTAAAGTCTATGGAAGCCTTCAACATTGAAGTCTATGAGAGCCTTTAACATTGAAGTCTATGGGACCCTTCGACATTGAAGTCTATGGGAGCCTTCAACATTGACGTCTATGGGAGCCTTCAACATTGAAGTCTATGGGAGCCTTCAACATTGACGTCTATGGGAGCCTTTAATATTTAACTCCTTGTGATAGCCAGGGCTGCTTTGAAAAAAATATCTACGTAGCAGCTAAGTAGTGGGCCGTTACCTGGTAAAATATAAAATATAGTTTACAGTTCAATAATAAGTACGGCATATTGTCAGATTAACATGAACCATTGTAACTTAAATTACTACATTACCCCCCCCCCCCCCGGCCCCGGCATCACCACCTCTGACCTTTGCACCACATCGGCTCACAAAGTTTAATATTCTTTGGGTCTTTCGGTAAAGTCACGTCGGTAGGTTCAAAGAAAACAACAACAAAAAGCTACGACGTTTCGATCGCAACACAAAGTGGTAGCCTTCCTGAAGACGACCGCTTTGTGTTTACCGAAGGACCCAAAGAATATGAATTCCTGCAGTGAAAGCTTTAAGTCAAGATCATACGCACAGTAAAACCTTGGATTGCGAGCACAATTCGTTCCTTGATACGTGTTTGTAATCCAAAGCACTAAGTACATCAAAGCACTCGAATATATTAAGACTACCGGCGCTGTGGCACACGAGGGGGTGGGTGGCTACCAGCACCACGCCCGGCCACCTTTGTCACACACGCCACCCACACACTGACACACACCACACACTACACACACACCACACACACTACACTCGCACAGACACACTACACTCACACTACACACACGCCACACACACCACACTATACTCACACACTACACTCACACCACACACACACGCCACCCACTCACTGGCACACACCACACACGACACACTATACTCACACACTACACACACACTACACACACACACTACACTAGCCACACACTACACTTACACCACACACTACAAACACTACGCACACACACTACACACACACCACACACACTACACTCACACCACACACACTACTCACACCACACACAACACACTACGCACACTACACACACACCGCACACACATTACACACACACTACACTCACACTACACACACGCCACACACACACACTACACACACACCACATTGTTTCGTGGCAGGTTTGACGACGCAACATTGGCAGATTTTTGCGGTAGCTTTGAAGGTATCGTCATCATCATCGTCGTCGTTGTCATTTACCGACTAAAAAGTGAAATGTTAATTATCGATCGCCCACCGCTGTCCCGTTGCAGCGCTGCCCACGTGAGGCTGTGAGCGGAGGGCGGCGGCGGCGGTGGGGGGGGGGCAGCGGGTACCATGGGGGCCCCGGCCGCTCTGCCGCCCTTCGTGGCCCTCCGCCTCCTCCTGCTGCTGCTGCTGCTGGCACTGCCACGGTGGGCAGATGCCAACGCCGGCGTTGTCGACGACGGCGGCGCCGTCACAGGCAGCTTGGGCATTGCCGTCGCAGAGTCCTGCCCAGCTGTGTGCAGCTGCGAGGAGAGGGAGTCGCTCCTGCAGGTTGGTGCGGTGTTGAGTCTACGGTGCGGTGTTGAGTCTACGGTGCGGTGTGTTGAGTCAATGGTGCGGTGTTGAGTCTACGGTGCAGTGCTGAGTCTATGGTGAAGTGTTGAGTCTATGGTGCAGTGTTGAGTCTATGGGCAGTGTTGAGTCTATGGTGCAGTGTTGAGTCTATGGGGCGGTGTTGAGTCTATGGGGCGGTGTTGAGTCTATGGGGCGGTGTTGAGTCTATGGGCAGTGTTGAGTCTATGGTGCAGTGTTGAGTCTATGGGGCGGTGTTGAGTCTATGGTGCAGTGTTGAGACTACGGGCAGTGTTGAGTCTATGGTGCAGTGTTAAGTTTATGGGGCGGTGTTGAGTCTGTGGTGCAGTGTTGAGTCTATGGTGCAGTGTTGAGACTACGGGCAGTGATGAGTCTATGGTGCAGTGTTGAGTTTATGGGGCGGTGTTGAGTCTGTGGTGCAGTGTTGAGTCTATGGGCCGGTGTTGAGTCTATGGGCAGTGTTGAGTCTATGGTGCAGTGTTCAGTCTATGGGGCGGTGTTGAGTCTATGGTGCAGTATTGAGTCTATGGGCAGTGTTGAGTCTATGGTGCAGTGTTGAGTCTATGGTGCAGTGTTGAGTCTATGGTGCAGTGTTGAGTCTATGGGCAGTGTTGAGTCTATGGTGCAGTGTTGAGTCTATGGTGCAGTGTTGAGTCTATGGTGCAGTGTTGAGTCTATGGGCAGTGTTGAGTCTATCGTGCAGTGTTGAGTCTATGGTGCAGTGTTGAGTCTATGGTGCAGTGTTGAGTCTATGGTGCAGTGTTGAGTCGATGGGGCAGTGTTGAGTCTATGGGCAGTGTTGAGTCTATGGTGCAATGTTGAGTCTATGGGCCGGTGTTGAGTCTATGGGCAGTGTTGAGTCTATGGTGCAGTGTTCAGTCTATGGGGCGGTGTTGAGTCTATGGTGCAGTATTGAGTCTATGGGCAGTGTTGAGTCTATGGTGCAGTGTTGAGTCTATGGTGCAGTGTTGAGTCTATGGTGCAGTGTTGAGTCTATGGGCAGTGTTGAGTCTATGGTGCAGTGTTGAGTCTATGGTGCAGTGTTGAGTCTATGGTGCAGTGTTGAGTCTATGGGCAGTGTTGAGTCTATCGTGCAGTGTTGAGTCTATGGTGCAGTGTTGAGTCTATGGTGCAGTGTTGAGTCTATGGTGCAGTGTTGAGTCGATGGGGCAGTGTTGAGTCTATGGGCAGTGTTGAGTCTATGGTGCAATGTTGAGTCTATGGTGCAGTGTTGAGTCTATGGTGCAGTGTTGAGTCTATGGTGCAGTGTTGAGTCTATGGTGCAGTGCTGAGTCTATAGTGCAGTGTTAAGCCTATGGGCAGTGTTGAGTCGATGGTGCAGTGTTGAGTCTATGGGCAGTGTTGAGTTGATGGGCAGTGTTGAGTCTATGGTGCAGTGTTGAGTCTATGGTGCAGTGTTGAGTCTATGGGCAGTGTTGAGTCTATGGTGCAGTGTTGAGTCTATGGTGCAGTGTTGAGTCTATGGTGCAGTGTTGAGGTGATGGGCAGTGTTGAGTCTATGGGCAGTGTTGAGTCTATGGGCAGTGTTGAGTCTGTGGTGCAGTGTTGAGTCGATGGGCAGTGTTGAGTTGATGGGCAGTGTTGAGTCTATGGTGCAGTGTTGTATGTATGTTGAACTTCTTTCGCATCGTACGTAGCCAACCGTGCAAATCCGAGGTGCTGCGACTGTGTGTGTGGTCACAATGGGGAGCGGTGGTGGCCACCTGCCACACCTCTCGTGCGTCACAGTGCCGGTAGCCTTCCTAGTCGCGGCTCGCTAAAAGCGCTTGCCCCTGCAGTCTGTTCAGACTCTATGGTGGAGGAGGGGATCTTTGTGAGCGAGTGGGTCGATGGGTTAGTGGGTTACTAAGTGAGTGGGTGATTGAGCGAGTGGGTGAGTGAGTGGGCGGGTGAGTGAATGAGTGAGTGGGTGAGTGAGTGGGTGGGCGGGTGAGTGAGTGAGTGCGTGGGCGGGTGAGTGAGTGGGCGGGTGAGTGGGTGAGTGAGTGGGCGGGTGAGTGAGTGGGTGAGTGAGTGAGTGGGCGGGTGAGTGAGTGAGTGAATGGGTGAGTGAGTGGGCGGGTGAGTGAGTGAGTAAGTGGGCAGGTGAGTGAGTTGTTTATAAGTGAGTGGGTGAGTGAGTGAGTGGGTGAGTGAGTGGGTGAGTAAGTGGGTGAGTGAGTGCGCGGTGCTGCCCTTCGTTAGGTACTGCTCCTCACTAACACCACTTGCCCCTGCAGTCTGTTAAGAGGCGACACGAGGCGGGGAGGGTACGGGGGGGGATTTTTGTCTTTGGCGACAGCTCTTTGGGAGCGAACATTGCCCACGGCGAGCTCCGTTCACACGGCCCAGAGCCCCGGAAAAAATTATAATCGGCGCGCTAACGACGTGCGGCGCCCCCTAATTATTAGCATGCAGCCATGGACACCTCATTAAGAGTGAGAATACAAATTGGCCGACACCGTCAGCCTCCACGACATCCTCGCACGGATAGCGGGAGGTGGGAGGAGCCGAGGGGGTGGGGCGAAGAGAATTCCAGAATACGGTTGAGTGCGAGATTCAGCAACATTCAACGTTCCTCGGTTTAAGGCGAACATTTTTTTTGTTTCTTTTACAAGGTGTTAAGCCCCCCCCCCCCCCCCCCCCCCCCCATCACTGAGTTGCTACGAATTTATTTCTCACGAGGAAATGCGGCTATCACAAGAGATAGCGGCTCAACAAAGTGAGTGAGTGGGTGAGTGAGTGAGTGAGTGGGTGAGTGCATGAGTGAGTGGATGGGTGAGTGGGTGGATGAGTGGGTGAGCGAGTGGGTGAGTGGGTGACTGAGTGAGTGGGTGAGTGGGTGAGTGGGTGAGTGAGTGGGTGAGTGAGTGAGCGGGTGAGTGAGCGGGTGAGTGAGCAGGTGAGTGAGTGGGTGAGTGAGTGGGTGAGCGAGTGGGTGAGTGGGTGACTGAGAGAGTGGGTGAGTGGGTGAGTGAGTGGGTGAGTGGGTGAGTGAGTGGGCGAGTGAGTGAGCGAGTAGGTGAGCGGGTGAGTGAGTAGGTGAGTGAGTGGGTGAGTGAGTGGGCGAATGGGTGAGCGAGTGGGTGAGCGGAAATTTCTCGCAGCCGAATACTCTCAACGCACGATGCAAAATGCGCAGGGGGAAAAAAAAACGGAGGAACCTGAAGAGAAATCCACGCGCCCGCCGGGACAGAAAGACAGACCCCAAATATACAGCAGGTGTTCTCGGGTCAGGATCGAACCCACAACCGCTTGTACACCAGGCGAGGTAGTTAACATCAAAACTAAAACTATTTTGTATTTTACCAGGTAAGACCCACCACGGAGCTACGACCTGGCTATTACACATGATAGCTCAAGGGAGAGGATGATGTGACGTTAATACTGGTAGGAAACGTAGTGGACTGGAAGCCCAACCCGGGATTAATTCACAGGAGGCAGGGGATTAATTGTGTATGTCTGTGGATGTCTGTCCACGTGTATCCGGAAACCCGGCTAAAATGGGAGGGGTGGGGCTGGGTGGAGAGGGGAGGGTGGGGAGGGGCTGGGTGGAGAGGGGAGGGGGGGGAGGGGCGGGTGGGGCTGGTCACCCCGTGGTGCCCCCCTTATAAAACTCAATGTTTAACCTACTCACGCCGGCTTGTGCCCGCCCTCACAGTCGGGCGTATTGTGCGGAATACACCACGTGGTGCCGCCGTTGTTGAGCCTGGCCATTGACTGAGCAGCAACCCAACGTTCCTACCAGCTCCCTCCCTCCGCAGGAGAATGTGTTTCTAAATGTCGAGGGGAAAAACCGGAGGACCCGGAGAAAAATCCACGCTACCACGGGAAGAGACACACGCAAACTCCAAATATACATCAGCAGGCGTATTCAGGGTTGGGCTCAAACCCACGACCTCCTGTGTATCAGGCGAGGTCGTTAACATCTCCTAACCACCGTGATGATGATGATGATGAGAGAGAGAGAAGTAAACTTCAAATAAGGAGCAGGTGTCAGGGTTGGGATCGAACCTACGGCCTGCTGCATTACCAGGCGAGGTAGTTAACATCTCCTAGCCACCGTGATGATGATGATGATGAGAGAGAGAAGCCCCTTTAACAGAGTTGAAGAGTAAACCTCCTGGAGGGATGCGTAAATCGCTGGAACTTGGCGGGGGAGTTCGCAGAACAACGGACAGCCACCACCGTCATATTGGACAAGCAAATTCGCCGGAGCTTGTCAAGAAATCGCTTCGCTTGACGAGCAATCGCCTTGGGAACTTGACGCTCGACCTCCTGGGCGGTTCGATGCGGAACGTAAGAGGGCCACATTGTCGTTGCGACTTCAATGAACAAAGATTCCCCTCCGATACCCCCCCCCACCCCACGCACAGGTCGACTGCGACAACCGCGGCCTGCAGCACGTGTCGCAGCTGCGCCCGCAACAGCAGCCGCAGCAGCCGCAGGAGCAGCAGGAGCCACAGCCCACCCGACCGTACCAGCTGCACCTGCATGGCAACTCGATCGGCACGCTGGCCGCCGGCGACTTCCACTGCTGCCCGGGCGCCGTCGCCCTCGACCTGGCCAACAACGGCCTGCTGGAGGTCGCGGGCGGCGCCTTCGAGGGCATGGCCCGCCTGCGCCGCCTCCGCCTCCACGGCAACAAGCTGGAGGCCCTCCGCAACGGCACGTTCGCCGGTGCCGAGGGCCTCGACTACTTGCAGGCCGACTACAACCTCCTGCGGCGGGTGGAGGCGGCGGCCTTCCGGGGCCTCGCCCGCCTCCGGGTGCTCATCCTCAACGACAACCTCCTGCGGCGGCTGCCCGCGGGCGTCTTCCGCGGCGTGCCCCTGCGCCACCTCGACCTGCGGGGCAACCGCCTCAAGGCGCTGGCCTACGGGGGACTCCTGGAGCACCTGCGCGGCGTCGCCGAGATCCGGCTCGAGGAGAACCCCTGGGAGTGCTCGTGCGGCCTGTGGGCCCTCAAGGAGTGGCTCGAGGTGCTGGCCGCGGGGCCGCCGCCGCCCCCCGCCGCCGCTCGTCGGCGAGGCGGTGTGCGAGTCGCCCTTCCGGCTGCATGGCAAGGGCCTGATGGAGCTGTCGCGCCGAGACGTCTGCGCGGGCGGCGACGACGGCGGCGGCGACGACGACGACGAAGGGGGCGACGACGAAGGGCCACGGCCGCGCCCCACCCCGGCCGGCGCGGCCAAGCCGCGCCTCTCCGTCACCACCACCACCATGCCGGCGCCGGCATCGTTCGCCGGCAAGCCGCACCCCAAGCCGCCGAAGCCCACGGCGGCGTACGATCGCGGGAAGGGCGCGGGCGACCGCAACGCGTCGCTGTTGCTGGCGGCGGCCGCCGCCGTCACCGCCACCAACATGGGCCCCATGGCGGCGGTGGCGGGAGGGGCGGCGGCGGCGGGGGGGGGCGGCCACCGCCAGGCCAAGCCGCCGGCTCCGACGAGCTGTCCCAGCGTGTGCTCGTGCGCGGTGCACGCGGCCGACGGGGGGCTCGCCGTCGACTGCCAGGGCCGTGGCATCGAGCGCGTCTCGGCCCTGCGGCCCCGCCCGCTGGGGCCCCGGAGGCTCTCGCTGCGCGCCAACAGCATCCGCGAGGTGCTCGCCCACGACTTCCGCGACCTCGGCACCCTCGAGCTCCTCCACCTGGGCGCCAACCGGATTTCGGCCGTCCGCGACGGCGCCTTCCTGGGCCTGTCGCGCCTGCGGCGGCTCCACCTCGACGGCAACGCCCTGCGCAGCCTCTCGGCGGGCGCCTTCGCCGGCCTCGGCGCCCTTCAGTTCCTCTACCTGGAGTCCAACGCCATCGTGGAGGTGCACGCCGGCGCGTTCGCCGCCACCGCCGCCCTGCAGCTCCTCTTCCTCAACCGCAACCGCCTGCGCCGCCTGCCGGCGGGCCTCCTCGCCGCCGCCACCGGCGTGACGAGGCTCAACCTGCGCGGCAACCGCCTGCGCGGGCTGCCCGCCGACGGCCTCCTGGCCCCGCTCGGCGCCTCTGCGGTGCAGGTGGACCTGCGGGACAACCCGTGGGAGTGCGACTGCGCCGCCGAGCCCCTGCGCCGCTGGCTCGCCTCCCTGAGCACGGGCATCATGCAGGGCGCCGTCGCGTGCGCGGGCCCCCCGGCGCTAGCCCACCGCGACCTGCGCTCCGTGCCACTCGACGAGCTGTGCGCCGGCGATCGCCCCGCCGAGGAGGCCGCTTCGACGGCCGGCACGGCCGCGGCCCCGCCGCCCGCCGCCCTCCCTCCGACACCGGCGCCGGCGCACGGCTCCCTCGGCGTGCCGCTCTCCGTGCTCATCTTGGGCCTGCTCGCCGCTCTCGTCACCGCCGTGGCGCTGCTCGCGGCCCTCTTGCGGCGCCGCGGGGCGGCCTCCCGCCCGCCGGCGGCCGACGCCGTCGCCGGCCGCGCCGACGCCGGCGTGGTGTCGGCGGCGTTCGACTACGGCCGCTACGAGGCGAAGGCGGCAGAGGCGGCCGCGCAGGCGGCCGAGGCCAAGGGGGCATCCGCGCCGGGGCAGAATCGGCGGCGGGGTGGCGGCCCCTCCATTTACACGGTGCCGCTGCGCGCCGGCGACCCCGACCGCCAGTACCGTCAGGTGCCGCTCGGCGAAGGGAGCGCAGCCGGCCCGGCTTGGGCGCCGCACGAGCACAGCCGCTGCCCCGGCGCGCCGGCCCTGCGGTACTACACGCTGGACCACCGCCGGCGTCGGCGGCGGCAGCAGTACGACGGCGCCGGATGTGGTGCGGCCGACGCGTCGTACCTCGGCGGCCAGGCCGCCGGCAGGGCCCCTCACGCCAGCTTCCAGTTCCGCAGCCTCAGCAGGCTGGGCCGGTTGCAGCAGCAGCAGCGGCAGCGGCAGCAGCAGCAGCAGCAGCCAAACTACGACTTGGGCAAACGCCCGTCGCAGGCGGCGCATCCGTCGGTGCCGCTGGGGTTCCGAGCGGAGGGTGCGGTGCACGCCGCCGGCGAGTGCCTGGAGCTGAACGCGAGGCTGCGTGCCGAGCCCGACTACCTGCACGTGCTGGAGAGGCAGTCTCCATACGAACAGTTCTAACGCAGGGCACCAATCGCTGACGCTGGCCGACTTGCGGGGGGTGGGGGGGGGGGGGGGAGGGGGCGGGACCGTACGCGCAACGCCGCGACTGATCACCGGAGGAGGAGGCCTGAACGTGCGTTGAAGGTCGGGCTACGGAAATGCTCGCCATGCCCGCCCGCCCTCTGTTGTTCTCCTGACGTTTTTGATCGCCGGAGGAGGAGGGAGGAAGGAAGGAAGGTCTGGGTTGAATGCGAGTTAATAGTCGGACTGCCAATATGTGCGGGATACACTCCCGCCCTCTGCTGTTCTTACGTTTTCAATCGCCGGAGGAAGAAGGTTTTGGCTGAACATGCGTTGAATGTCGAGCTGCTGATATGCTCGGGATACGCACCCGCCCACCCGAACCCGCCCACCCGAACCCGCCCGCCCGAACCCGCCCTCTGTTCTTACGACGTTTTTGATCGCCGGAAGGAGGAAGCAAGGTCTGGGCTGACTGTCCGTTGAAGGTCGGCTTGCGGATACGCTCGGGATACCCGCCCGCCCGCCCGCCCGCCCACGTGCCGTTCTTACGAAGTTTTTGAAAAATAGTCTGAAGCCGTGAAACCGCCACGCATCTCTCGACGGACACTGCCATTTGTATGCACGGAGCATTTTTTACAGTCATAACAGCCGGAGGCGCAAAGCACCGTAGTAGGTTGGAAATGCGTGAACACCAAGTAAAAATGCGCTCATCCGCACCCACGCACGCGTTCACCTTAACATTGAGGAATTATTTACCTTTACGTATAGGAATCATTTGCTTGTCTGCATTGCCCTTCCCCCTCTCGCGTATTAGCCTGCCCTCAATAGTAGCGACGGTAGTCCTAGGACCCTCTAATTTGGCTCTACGATGGTAACGAAAATTATTCTTAGGAAATAAAAAATTGCCCTCTTGTTTACTCGGCACTAACGTTACCCCTTGGTTCTGCGACCAGAAGAGACTTCTTAGCTAGGCCGCGGGCACGCGCAGGGTGTAACAACAACAACAACATAAAACTTTTTTTGTTTTTGTACTACACGCAATTACATTTTCCCCGCGTGACGCGGACGCCTCTCGCGAACGGAAGCGGCGTGGACGTTCGCACGTGCCGAGTTAGTTACGAGGAATTGTACGATTGATGCACTGTGGTCGCCGTCTTCTACTAATCGAACGTTCGGCCGCGAGACCGGGAAATAAACGTATTTTAAAACCGCCGCGGCCGCTCGTCCACTCGCCGCGTGTGCGCGAGCGCTTTCCCCGAAGTTCAAGGCAGCGGGGTTTAAGAGGAGGTGCTGAGTAAAATGAGGGTAACTTATTACTGCCCGATTTAAAGCTTTCGTGACTGCAAGGATTCATCTTCTTTGCTTCTTTCGGTAAAGTCACGTAGAATGAGAATACAATAATAAATTGATAATATAAACACAATAAAATTCTCACGACGTTTCGGCCACAACACAAGCGCTGGAGCGCTGTCCTCCAGACAGTCTCGTCCCTTCACCTGATGAAGGCCGCTTGTGTTGTGGCCGAAACTGTGAGAATTTTATTGTGTTATTTTATTTTATCAATTTATTATTGTATTCTCATTCTACGTGACTTTACCGAAAGAACCAAAAAAGATTATTACTGCCCGTTAAAAAAAAAGACTTGTTCACGTCAATGCTGCAGGGCATCATTCAAACACCATTAACTTTTTTTTTTAATATATTCTTTGGTCCTTTCGGTAAAGTCACGTAGATAGAAAAATTATAAAATGATTTTTTATAAAAACCACGACGTTACGATCGCAACAGAAGCAACCGTCCTCATCCAAATCTATAAACGTAGACGTAAATATCAACCCGAGAAGATGGATACAAATTGAGCAATCATTGGAAGGATGTTATATTAACCAGGTAAAAACCTTAACCGTTTATGGTTGTTCCATCATATCTGCCGGGTACTCGTCTATTTTTCCGAGTTAATATCCCCCCCCAGCATCCCCAGCGTTTGGTATTGTTACTACATTGGCATTGTTGCTGCATCGGCATTGTTGCTACATTGGCATTGTTGCTACATTGGCACTGTTGCTACATTGGCATTGTTGTTGTATTGGCATTGTTGTTGTATTGGCATTGTTGCTACATTGGCATTGTTGCTTCATTGGCATTGTTGCTACATTGGCAGTGTTACTACATTGACATTGTTGCTGCATTGGCATTGTTGCTACATTGACATTGTTGCTGCATTGCCATTGTTGCTACATTGTTGCTGCATTGCCATTGTTGCTACATTGGCATTGTTGCTACATTGGCATTGTTGTTACATTGGCATTGTTGCTTCATTGGCATTGTTGCTACATTGGCATTGTTGCTACATTGGCATTGTTGCTTCATTGGCATTGTTGCTACATTGGCATTGTTGCTACATTGGCATTGCTGCTACATTGAAATTGTTGCTACATTGGCATTGTTGCGGCATTGGCATTGTTGCTTCATTGGCATTGTTGCTGCATTGGCATTGTTGCTGCATTGGCATTGTTGCTGCATTGGCATTGTTGCTACATTGGCATTGTTGCTGCATTGTTGCTACATTGGCATTGTTGCTACATTGGCATTGTTGCTGCATTGGCATTGTTGCTGCATTGGCATTGTTGCTTCATTGGCATTGTTGCTTCATTGGCATTGTTGCTTCATTGGCATTGTTGCTGCATTGGCATTGTTGCTACATTGGCATTGTTGCTACATTGGCATTGTTGCTACATTGGCATTGTTGCGGCATTGGCATTTCTATATTTAAAGCTTTCGTGACTGCAAGGATTCATACTCTTTGGTTCTATTCGGTAAAGTCACCACGTAGGTAAAAAATAAAACGACAAAAATCACGACGTTTCGGCCACAACACAAGTGGCCTTCATCAGGTGAAGGGACCAGTACCTTGTTCACCAAGGTCCCAGTACCTGATACCATTGAAATAATTGAAAATTTGGTCCAACATGGACTAGACCCCGATACACCTGCACTGGTTAGGCACTGCCTCAACAATACCTACTTTACTTGGAATGGCTCCTTCTACAAACAAAATGAGGGACCCCCATGGGATCCCCCTTGTCACCAGTGATAGCCAATATTTTCATGGAGAAATCTGAATCAGACGCCATCCAGACTTCCACTCTCAGACCTTCCCTGTGGAAGAGATATGTAGACGACACTTTCGTCATTTGGCCACATGACCCCCCGGCTTTGAACCTTTTCCTAGACCACATTAATTCCAGACACCCCGCCATCACATTCACCATGGAAGTGGAGAAAGATGGCAAGCTGCCATTCTTGGTTGTTCTGTTTGAGAGGAGACCTGATGGCTCATTGGGACATTCTGTCTACAGGAAACCCACCCACACAGATTCCTACTTGAAACCTGATTCCCACCACCACCCGACGCAAAATAATTCTCTCATCAAAACGTTATACCACAGGGCTCATTGCATTTCGGACCAACACCACCTGACCAGTGAATTAAAACATGTACATCTGGCCCTAAAAAGGAATGGATACTCTGACCGTACCATCCGCCAAGCTGTTTCTCCCTCCATACAGAAACAACCACTTGATACTCCGATCAAAACCATCACGCTACCATATATAGCAGGCGTTACTAAAAAGATCTCCAAAATTCCAAACAAACACAAGATCCTGGTCCGGTTCAACACAGTACACAAAATCCGTGACCTGATCCCTTCTGTGAAGGATGTCATTCCTGACTTACAGTACCCCGGAGTTTACAAATTAATCTGCACCAGTGGTGACTGCTATATCGGGGAGACGAAACAACATGTCTCTGACCGAATTCGCAAGCACAAATCAGATTTGAAACACGGCAGAACAAATTCTTCTGCCGTAGCTGATCACTGTTACAACACTGTGGGTGATCACGATATAGTTTTCTCCGATACCAAGGTTCTTTGCAAACCCACGGGTTTTTATCAGAGATTTGTTCACGAGGCAATTAAGATTTACAAACACAAGACACAATTTCAACCGAGAGGATGGTTTCAAATTAAGCAACCATTGGAAAGATGTTCTGAATTAAACCAAACATTAAACTAATTTTCAATGGTACAGTATATTTTTTCAAGTAGTGGTATCCCAAACTTTCGCAGCTGCTTAAATTCCCTTTTCACACCATCAATAGGTAAACTCCCCCCTCCCCTCCCCCCCTCGCAGACCTGCACATGTTCACCCCCTCTACACCGTTCATCATGCTAAGTCCGCCAATTAAATGCTAATTACTTTGCCAAGGCGCTGTTTCCTCTCACACAGCTTAAAGGTCGCGGTCTGAGCTTGGCTGTGTTCACTCCAGCGCTGTCCTCTAGACACTCTGGTCCCTTCACCTGATGAAGGCCACTTGTGTTGTGGCCGAAACGGCGCGATTTTTGTTGTTTTATTTTTTTACCTACATGACTTTACCGAATAGAACCAAAGAGTATGCATTGGCATTGTTGCTGCATTGGCACTCGTGCACTGCCCGTGCTTCTGGTGTTCTTGATACACTTGGGCTACGCCCATCTCCAAACCCTGATAAACAGTTTGCCGTTAGAGGCTGACCCCTTTGCCTGATGACGACCGCTTGTGACGCGATCGAAACGTCGCGATTTGTTTCATTGTATTTCTAACCACGTGACTTTAGCGAAATAACCAAAGAGTAGAGCTACTGCAGCCAAAGGCAGAGCCACAGCAGCCACAGGTTTCGATGCCTATCACAAATGACAGCTCAAAGAAGTGACTGATGATATTATTATTATCATCATCATCATCCAAATATACCAGGGAAGGCCCACTGAGCCATGAAGCTCTTTCGAAAGAAGTGACCTGACCCATGTGATGATGGCTTATCACCATCATCACATGGCAATGTATAGCAGCAGCCAAATAGTTTACATCGAAACTAAAAGTTATTTTATTTAACCAGACAAGATGAGAGAGAGAGAGAGAATAGCAAACTCAAAATATACAGCAGCAGCAGGCATCGTCAGGGTTGGGATCGAACTCACAACCTCCTGTGTACCAGGCGAGGTAGTTAACATCTCATCGCCACCGTGACGAAGAGAGTGAGAGAGACGCAAACTCCAAATATACAGCAGCAGCAGGCATCGTCAGGGTCGGGATAGAACCCACAATCTCCTGTATACCAGGCGAGGTAGTTAACATCTCATCGCCACCGTGATGATGAGTGAGAGAGAGAGAGACTCCAAATATACAGCAGCAGGCATCGTCAGGGTTGGGATTAAACTCAACCTCCAGTATACCAGGCGAGGTAGTTAACATCTCATCACCACCGTGACGAAGACAGTGAGAGAGACGTAAACTCCAAATATACAGCAGCAGGCATCGTCAGGGTCGGGATAGAACCCACGACCTGCTGCATACCAGACGAGGTAGTTAACATCTCGCCCGTTAACCGCCCATTGTTGAGCTACAGAGTTAAATGAGGCTGTTCCGTCTTTGCTCCAGTGCATCTTTATATATTTATTTATTATTTGTTGTCCCCCCCGCACCTCCGATAAGTGCGGTTGGCTACGTACGGTGGCGACAGACGTTCAACAAACACAAAAGACAAAGATCCCCCATATAGCCTCAACAGACTGTTGGGTCTAAGTGCTGTTAGCGAGCACCTATGAAGGCCGGCACTGCACACGAGGGGGTGGGTGGCCAGCACCACGCCGGGCCGCCTTTGTCTCCCAAGTGGCGATGTTTACTACATACCGCACCAGGTACTCATTTGAGGCCGAGTCGACCTATGGGAGGCCCGGGACCGGTTCAGATAATCGTCACTGGTGTTGGCCGTGAGCGGGAAATCAAACTCGGGTCGCCAGGTTCGTAGTTGCAGCGTAGCGCTAACCGCTACACCACCACTCTCCATAAATACACACACACCCACCGTATCGTACACACACACACTTGCTTTTATATCGGTAAATGATGATGATTAGGGCGGACGAAAGTCAACCGAGCGTGACGATGATGACGTCTGCCCCGGCTAAAGGCCGAGGTGCAATTTAACGAAATGTGAATGAAGGCGTGGGGCCGAGATAATTTAGCGACGTTATTAGGAGGCTGCAATTGCACCGAGGAAGGCCCACAGCTGCACGTGAATGGGATACGTCAATAAAATAGATTTGCTTGCAAGGTTCGCCGAGTGGCTGACCTAAGAATATTATCATATTCCGGGGAGGGGAATT